CAAAAAAAAAAAAGAAAAGTAAAAGGAAAAGCTATTAAAATGATGTGACGATTCAATATATGAGGTGACATAGAGGACTTGTGTCTGGGGCAGATGCAGGCTCTGTGTGACTGGGTTGCAGGTCTCTTCACCTTTGGCCCAACACATCGGCGTTGTGTAAGGCTGCTGTGCCCAGCGACGGTGTGATTGCAGGGAGCAGGCAGGCTGGGTTTGGTGGTTGGTTGGGTTTTTTTGCCTAGTCCCAAGTTTTAAATTTCTCAAGCCCTTTTATGCTTCAATTTACAAAGGAATACAGGCCTGTGTCCATTTTTAGGCTATTCTTTAGGGTTCAAGACATCTGAAGAGTCTTTATTATCTCCTACCAGATTTAGTCAATAGTAAAAACTGTTTTCTAATTTTCCTGCAGAAGGTTTAATTGTCTGCGTGAGTGGACTACCAGTCAAAAAAAAGCATCCCAGCATGCCTGCCTGCACATGAGTATTTGTTGCTAGGGGGTACTGTGTGGCACTAAAAAAAAAGAAAAACGACCAAGAAAAGCAGAAACAAAAAGAAACCCCAGTAACTAAAACATGCTGCCTTGCTTGTGGTCTCAGCTTACGCGCATCACCAGGGCTTTGGTATCTAGAGCCCGCGCTGAAGGCAATGGAAGCAGCAGGCAGCTGATGGCAGGCACTGTGGGACAGGCTGTGCCCAGTCCCGGCTGCTCCTCATCCCCACTGCGCCAGAAGTCAGTCCCTCGAAGCTTTCCACCACTGCCTCCTCCTCCTCTGGTGACGCTCACGCCGCTATCAGCAGCAGCACATGTTGGATGGCGGTGCCTGGGAAGCGCGCTTGGGCAGTTAAGAGGCTTGAGGTTTCTCAGAGCTGAGGGATGGCAGGCCTGCAAACAAAACCTACAGAGAAACAGGCTTTTCACAGACCGAGTCTGGTGTAGAGACAGACTTGGGGGTTCACAGACATGCAACTGGGGAGGAGAGGGAAAAGAGGCACAAACCCATCTCCACTTCACAAAGCACCTCAGGTGCTTTGTGTCTTGTGCTATTGTTGTTAAGACCCTGCTAGGAAGTGCTTCAGAGGAGGCACATGATTCCAGGGAGCTATTTTTAGCAAGAGAAAAACCAATGTTAAGAGATTGCATATTTATTTAACTTCCCCCTTTTTTTTTCTTTGCTTGTGAGATGCTTGTGAGTATATATATTTATTGCTGAAATTATTTTGCCAATTTTTTTGGACAGTGAAGTAGCATCTTCAGCCTCTTTGTAAGTTGTGGCTACTGCAGATTAACACCTTGCATTTTTTAAGTAGTATTTATTTAGAGTCAGTAGCTCTCTGACACTGTGTCGCTGCAGCTCCCATTCAGAATGCAGCAATTGAAGATACAACTCTGAATTGCACTATTACTTTTAGCTAAGCGTAGTTGGAGAAAACAACTATGAAATGTGCACGAATAAAATGAAATTTGCTTTCAAAGTAAATGGCCAAATAGCCTTTCCAGAATTTTAACTTAGGACATTGTAGTACAGATCCACGATGTGGCAATGGAACATAGCTGTTATGTTGTCTTGCTGCGTAAACTAACCTGTTTAGGGAATACTTTTTGGAAAATGATTTAACTACTGTGTTTTAAGGAAACAAAAGGAATCTACCTGAATTTAAAGTCTTGCTTTCATTGCTCCCTACTGAGGAGGGCTCATAGCTTGGCAGAGGATGACAGAATGTTTGCTGGCTGCTTTTTTGCAGTGCACTTCTGGTGCTAAACTTTGTCTTAGGAGCCCTTGTCCGTTCTTCCATTGGCTCGTGGAAGAAGTGGAAGTCATCTGTGGTGGGGAAGTCTGGAATAAGCTGATTTTTCTTTTGGAACAATATGGAAGCTCAGAGGTTCCTTATCTCTAGCAACCCATAAAGTGGTAAAGTAGTTACTTTCAATGAGTCAACTCCTCCCACTGTCATCTTTTTATACAAAATAATTTAAGGTGCTTTCCTAATTATAGTTCCTTTTCCTATCCTTAAAAGGAATACTTGCAAAGCACTGACAGCCATCTGGCATGTAGTAAAACTACTATAAGCTTCCAGAAGAAAAAATGTTGCTCAGTGATATTAGTGCTCTTTATCAGCAGGCAGCACGACTGTGTCACGTTTTGCTCAGCCTGCAGCATTTCCTTTAACACAGTGAAACATTTCACACAGTGAACGTTATAGTTAACTTCAGTGAAGCTGGGTTTTCACCTGTAGCGTTTTTCTGGCAAGTTCTGAAATGCTACATCTCAGATATAAGAAAATAAGAAGTATAAAAAATACTGTATTCATGGCAGGAAAAAGATGGGGGGAGTGAGAGCATCGGTGCCGGTTAGTCACAAGTTGATTCTTGGCTGAAATGGATGGATTCTTAATGAATGTTTGAGGAACATGTATCCCTGAGAGTGCAGTGTTTTACGGTGTTATTTATGCTTCACAAAGGTTGTTGGTTTTGATTTTTTTTTTTTTGATCCTGTCCCCCTCCTTTATGCAGTTAGATGCTGAGAACGATGCTTATGAGTGCAGTGGAAGTTTGCCTGGCAATGTGCTGAATGCTGTGATTAGAGGAGGCTGCTGCTCAAAAGTCGTTATTGATTTTATTCTGGATGTTGTCCTGTATGACTCATGATGTTAACATTTCAATTACGTGGCAGAAGCACATGTAGTTAGTAAGTTAAGATCGCTCATTTTTGGCTATAGCCCCTCTATATGGGTATATACTTGTGTATATATATTATGTATAAAATAATGAAACATGCAATGTGCACAGGTATTCATGAATCACACTGCTTGCTGCATGGAGAACTAGAATTAATTGTAAGGGGGTGCGTGTGACTTTCTTTTCCAAGCCACTCAGTCATGTACCTGTGCACCTGCACCCAGGCAGGAATAGGCACTTTGCCGCCTTGTGAAAGGCTTTGATGAGCAGCCTGAGCTGCTGGCTACTCCCCTTCTGGCTGGGTGACAGCCCCGCGGGTATAAAAAGGCCCCTTGGGGCGGACTGTGCTGGGTGTAGCTGATACAGCAGCAGAAAGAGGGCTTGTTCTGGGGACTGCAACCAGAAAACCTGTGTCAGGTTGTAGCTGCCAACAGGTCTAAGGCACACAAAAATGCGTGAAATTGTGCATCTGCAGATTGGCCAGTGTGGGAACCAAATTGGAGCTAAGGTAAGGTGTCTTTTCAATATTGGTCATTCGTAGTAAGTGCTGTCAGTGGTAGTAGGTTAGACATCATTAATGGACAGGGACTTTTTTGGGGAAAAATCACCGTGTTAACTCAATGGTAGGAGGCATGGCATGGTAGCAGTGTGAGTGTTTTGATGTGAAAGTCATAAAATGGGCTTGCTCCTCATGCGAAGGCTAATGTTAAGGCTGTCAAAGCATGAAACATCTGCAAGAACTACGGCACAGTGACTGTGAAAAAACCTGCTGGGACTCACATTCCCAGGGGCATTCGTCTAGCCTGCAAAATACTGGGAGACGTGAAGGAGCCTGTAATTCCAGGGCTGCACAGTTGTGATGCCAGTGCTTTAGTTCAGCCATATGTCAGTAACTCTGCCACATTATAGTCCTTAATATGGGATTGGATTAGTTAACAGAACGGCCAGTGCTACCAGTGACCAACTAGGTTTTTCTCAGCGTGGCACAAAGTGCAGTTAAGGATTCCTGCCTAACTGGCCTCCTGCCAGGGGCAGTCATGTCCTTTGGAGTACTTTTGTGTAGTTCAAACACTGCCATGGTGGTACTTGGAGAGAAGTTGCTCATTGCTGACTGTGCTAGGAGAGGAAAAAAAAAACCAACATTGCTTTTTGCTGTGTGATGCCCATCTTTTTTTTTTTTTATTTTATTTATTGTTTAGTAGGAAGTTGTCACAAAAAAGTATCTGGGTTAATTTGGGGCTGGGAGGTCTTTGAGGACACATGACAGCTGAAGGATTGTTCCATTGTGTTCTTCCCCCATTTCTTGCTCCCACAAATCTAACCTTGATTCTTTTTATTGGAACGTGAAGCTGTGGATGGCCAGGAACTGTCGTGTTAGACCCAGAGAGTTTGAATGCAGCCAGTCTAAAGGTTTATATTTTTTCTGTTGGCTTTGACTTGGAAACCTCACATGTCTAATGAGACCTGTAGAAAAGCACACACACACTGAAGCACCGTGCATATGGTGTAACTGTACACCCAAATTGAGCCTGGATGCTGAAGCAGCCCTTTCACGCTGAAGCAGTCGGGTCATTAGTGGTGGGTGTGACCCGTTAGCGCTGCTGTGGCTGCTGCCCAGATAAGAGCCCCAGGACAGGACATCCATGTGAACGTCAAGATAGGCCATGTGGGGCCAACGTCTGTTTGTGGAAAGCACTGCTCACATACACATTTGTGTGAGCCAGCTTTGCCATGCCACAGTCCCGCGACGGGCCTCATAGCACCCCTCCCCGGTCCACACACCCCTCGGACTTCTTTGTTCGGCTCATGCTAACTAGTACCTGTGTTATTTAAACTAATATCAATTTTCCTTCACTGTAAAGGGAACAAATTGAGGGCCTTCACCTATTAGTGCACAGGTGACAGCTAAGCGGCGTAAATGGGCTGCTGTTTTCCCTTGAACTGACTTGGGGAGGGGGAGAGGAGGGTCCCTGCTCTGATCTCATACGTAAATGGCAGAACATCCCCACCTCAGGCACAGTGCCCGCTGCATGGGCAGTCAGGCACTGCTGAACACAGTGTGCTGTAAAGAATAAACCTTTGTGAGTGTATTGAACCGCTTTCCTTTTTCAGTTCTGGGAGGTGATAAGTGATGAACATGGAATTGACATCGCTGGAAACTACTGGGGAGATGCATTGCTGCAGCTTGAGCGAATTAACGTGTACTTCAATGAGGCTTACTGTAAGTGCTCAGCATTGTTAGGGTGTTGGCAGAGCAATTGGCCAAGCCAACGTGAAGGGTAACATGAGTAATTTAAAAAAAAAAATCCCCAAATCACTGTAGGTGGGTTGGATTTTTCAAAGCAGATTGTAAACCTGTCCCTTTGGCTTCTAACAGTAATTGTTCACATTAATTTTCTTTTGTCCTAGCCCATAAATACGTGCCCCGTTCTATCCTGGTGGACCTGGAACCTGGTACGATGGACAGTGTACGGTCTAGCAAAATAGGCCCACTCTTTCGACCTGACAATTTTATTCATGGTATGTACAGCATGCTGTCAAGTACAGCTGTCTCAAAATGGCCTTTTAACTCCCATCTTTGTACCCTTTAAAAATGCTCTTGTTAACTTTGTGGCTGTTCTTTCTGTAATTCTCTTTACAGGTAATTCAGGTGCTGGAAACAACTGGGCAAAGGGCCATTACACTGAAGGCGCTGAACTGATTGAGAACGTCATGGATGTGGTCAGGAGCGAGTGCGAGAGCTGCGACTGCCTCCAGGGATTCCAGCTCATCCATTCGCTTGGTGGTGGCACAGGGTCAGGTATGGGCACGCTGCTCATCAACAAGATCAGAGAAGAATATCCCGACAGGATTATGAACACTTTCAGTGTTGTGCCGTCACCCAAAGTGTCTGACACTGTCGTGGAGCCGTATAATGCCATCCTCTCCATCCATCAGCTAATAGAGAATACAGATGAAACCTTTTGCATCGACAATGAAGCTCTATACGATATATGTTTTAGAACTTTAAAGCTCACCAATCCTACCTATGGTGACCTCAACCACTTAGTGTCCCTAACGATGAGCGGTGTCACAACCTCACTCCGTTTTCCTGGTCAGCTGAATGCAGATCTGAGGAAGTTGGCTGTTAACATGGTGCCCTTTCCTCGTCTGCATTTCTTCATGCCAGGCTTTGCTCCACTGACAGCTCGAGGTAGCCAACAGTACAGAGCCCTTTCGGTGCCAGAGCTGACTCAACAAATGTTTGATGCACGCAACATGATGGCAGCTTGTGACCCACGCCGCGGCCGTTACTTGACCGTGGCTTGCATCTTCAGAGGCCGAATGTCTACCAGAGAAGTGGATGAGCAGTTGCTGGCTGTCCAGACCAAGAATAGTTCCTACTTTGTGGACTGGATCCCTAATAACGTCAAAGTGGCCGTGTGTGACATACCACCACGAGGACTGAAGATGGCAGCTACCTTTATTGGCAATAACACAGCCATCCAGGAGCTCTTCATCAGGGTTTCTGAACAGTTCTCAGCTATGTTCAGAAGAAAAGCATTCCTCCATTGGTATACTGGCGAAGGTATGGATGAGATGGAGTTTTCTGAAGCAGAGGGTAACACCAATGACCTTGTGTCCGAGTACCAACAGTACCAGGATGCCACTGCAGATGTTGAGGAATACGAAGAGGTGGAAGTAGAAGCTAGCCCAGAAAAGGAAGCACAGTGAAAACGATGTAATATTGAAACATTCTCCGAAAAAGCCTATTGACAATCACTAAAGCAATAGGCATCATCTGTATACTGAAAATAACACCTTTCTTACAATTTTTTTCTCTGCATCAGGACAAAATATATCCAATAGTACAATCCAATGCTTTTGAAATCAATGACAGCTACAGGTTACTCTCCTAAACAACTGTTGTCACTGAATCCCTCCAAAAAAAGAGACACTATGAAGACAAGTTGCCTCCTAACAGCCTTTCTTGTACATGTATTCACTTCTGAATATTATCACCAGATACTGAATGTACTATACAGCCTCTGTGTGTGCATGTATATATCAGGCTCATAAGGAACAGCAACATATGCTGTCAACTCATCAAATGTATTTATTCTCAGGTAAACACAGTCCATGTTTTGTTTGTGAACTTGGTACTGGTTTAGGAACGCGTGAACATCTGTAAGGCCTATAAAGGCAGTATCGCTTTTGTTACACACTCAACAGACTGATCTGGATCTGCAGACATGTTCATTCCTTAAGTTGCGGGGAGGGGAGGGGTGGTAACAACCTGGGGCAAAAGTTGTATATGCACATTCTTACTTTTTTTTTTTTTTAAGTACTTTAATAGTTCTATCACATTGCTGGCTTATATTATTGCAGAGCTTGCATCCATTATAATTGCATGGTTTGTTTCAATTTCAAACTATTGAGCATACAAAGTTGTGAACACTGTGTAAAAGTTTTGGTGTCGTGGTTTTTTTTCTCTGTGTACTAACTACTGTAAATTTTCTTCCTATCATTCAGTACAGCAAAATGGATGGAATGGATTGCAGCTAGTTAGATGTAAGTTCAATGGCAATCACTAAATCAAAAACATATCTTCACTTCAGGAAAAAAAGTTTTTGCCATTCACAGCCATCTACTTAACAGTGTATTTATAATAGTCTTTAAAATAAAAATTGGATACCATTCTGTAAAATACTTTAATACTTGAAACATTTGATGGACAAAAATCATAGTTTATTTGTTATTACATTAAAAAATTTAGCTTGTTCTATTATTCTCTTAGACAAGGGAGTTTATTACTCTGAAGAAAGTGATGCCTCACATTTGAGTCAACAGCAGCAGTGTCTGGGGGAATACAAACCTGACGCCAATCCTGTCAGCGTGCTGTATTTCTCTCTCTGCAGCAGGACAGCATTACACTCGCTGTGAGGACCCACAGTAGCAGGAACATACAAACGCTCCCCCCAAACACAGCTGAAAGCGTGACTCCACCCCCCTAGCCAAGAGTGGAGAGTGTCACCCTCCAGTCCTACTGTTTCCCAGTGCTTGTGTCCCTCTCCCTCCCAGTTAAATGACAAAGTGATAAGAAGGACAACCAATAGCTCAGTAATGAAAATACAGTCCAGGGATTTCTGCACCTCCTACAGGACACCAGGTCTCCAACTCCCGACTCATGCTGTGTTCCAGACAACTTTGGAGATTGGATCCCACACAGCACATCGTGGAAAAACATCTTGCTTTCAGTTTAGTTGTAACCCAAAGCCTAATAGAATTGATTTTCACTGAGTTAGTTTTGTTCTAAGCACAAATGGAAGATGAAAACCACGGTGACAGATAATTTTAAAGCCAGCAGCGTACCACTTCCAGAGGAGAGAACTGACAGGTATTTTTAATTATTGAAGTCATGTGCCTATATTCTCTGTTGACCTAGGTTTTAGTGAAGAAAACTTTTGTCCAAAGTGATCGTTAATCATTGAAATGAAATAGGCAGTAAAATTTTTAAATAACAATTAAATCTCTCACTCATTGATGTACCTGAAATATCAGCATGAAACCCAACAAGAGATTGGCCTTAACAATAATCATACGTTGTTACTGAATGGTAGACTGTGATAAAAACAGTCTTCTATTTTAACACGAGTGAAAGATAAATGTCCCTGCAAAAAATGGAGTACTTTGTTTCAAGAGGAACACTTTCCACACAATCATCTGTTTAACAGAAATTATATTTATTAGCATGCTGATTTACATACAGAGGCAAGTTTTACAGTTAATGTGATGACATATTGCAGAGTCTTGAGCTTGCCTACAGCTTTGCAGTTTGCTGTTAGAGTATTTACCACAGATCGGTTCCTATGAGAGATTTAAAATACAAGTTATTCGATTCAAGAATATGTACAAGGTATGCTTCAAACAGAAGGTAATAAGATTTAATCTCAGATCAGGAACAGAAACTGTTCTACTTATAAGATATTTCAGCTGCTTGTGATGTATGCAACGTCACAAATAAAGGCACAAGTAGCATCCATCTTTCACAGATGGTTGATAATAAATCTGCTGATTAGGGGAAACCGTAGTTCAGAGAGGCTTAGTACATAAAGAGTCACAAAACCTACGAACATCATTACAGGATACGTCCATAACAACTTTGACCAAGCCCTAAATTTGTTCAAAGCAGAGCCTGATGGAGAAAACATCTCACCTTAGTGAACCGCCAAGATTACGCAGTTACGCAGAGACATCCACACACACTCGCACCAGCCAACAGCCCGCTCCAGTGTCACACACGAAGCGCAGAGCCCATCTCCCCCACACGGCACGGAACAAGCCAGTCACAGGCTGTCACCCACCCAACTCAGGGTGGGACCCCACCCTCCCCGTGTGAAAGCTACAGCGAGGCACCCACCGGCCAACTCACATTTTATTCCTTCTTGGGTTTCACAGTTTTCACGGTGGCCATCGCCGCCCTCTCTGCTTCTGCTTTGTACTGCGGCTTCAGGGCTGCTCTGACAACCTGGGCACAGATCTGGGAAAACCGGATGTAACTGCAGAGAGGGGAGAAAAGGGGGGAGAACACGGAGATGAGACCCGAACCCGTCCCAGCCGCCCCTC